TGAGCATTAACTGCTTTCATTTCCAAAACATTATCAGATAGTAATCCATGCAACCGAGAAAGCAGTCCATATCCACCACCAAGTGCATGGCCAGCAAGTCCTACCCATGGACAACTTCCAGCATTAATTGTATAGTTATCAGATTGATATGCTTCATAATAGATTGGACCAAGTCTTGTACCAGCTCCAAATGTTCCTGTTCTATCATGCTGATTAATATTTATATAATTAATTCCTTCCATGTTAATTATAATATTATTGTATGTTGAACCTAATCCATAACCTTCATAACTATGCCCTCCACTTAATGCATTCACAACATAGTTTAAGTTTGCTGCACATACCAGCACATTTTGTACATCACTACTGTCTGTTGCATACACAATCACAGCAGGTGAATGAGAAAATCGTCCATCACGAATAGCAGATAAATTAGTAATATTAAAATGAACACATTTATATTGAAAATTGTTTTGATTTGCTATAGTACTACATGGATAAATAGTACGTACTGTCAATGGTAATAATGATGAAAGACATGTGTATAAATCATTATTGTTTGTTCTGGTGAATCGATAATTAGGAAGATGAGTTGTCGTAACCAGATTAACTTGAAAAATACATAACAAAAACAAGATGAAAAACCAATTCAAAATAAATATATTAATCATTATAATCTAGAAAAGTAGATCATTTTGAAGTTATGTACTTGTATCGAATAATACTCGTAGATGTAAAGAAAATGTATTAGTTCGTATGTGATCAACTTCAGTTCATTTATTTTAGTCCTACTTCTCACATGGCTACATATGTTTATATGTTAAAAGAAGAACAGAAAAGAAAGGAAAACAAAGATTAAATAGTAACAATAACAAAAACAATAAAACAAGATAGAATAAACACGAGTTAAGGAATACAAACAAAAGTTCACTGATGTCCATAAAGTTGACTATCTGTATAAACATATGTTATTATTCAGTATATACAGTCAAACATTATAAAATTTATATTTTTCATATAAATATGGAGATGTGAATATTTTAAACTATATATACATTATTTATTTGCAGTGCATTCTACAATCTATTAGTTTAATCAGTTAGGACTACTAACATGCAATCAACTAGATATAGTACAATCCATAGAAAAGTTCTCTGACATCATATTTTTTCTCCAAAAATAGTTAGAATGCTATGCAAATATTACTTATTCTATTCAAGCTTCTGATAAAATATCTTTCGGTTAGTACTTCTTAGTTTGTATTGAATATAACATGAAAGTCATGAACAAAGTGAGTTTCACTGTAGAAGTGTTATTGCACATATTTTCATCCTAGAGATATATGTATACGTAACAGTAGATGGACTCTGAATGTATTTATTACAAGAGACATAACATTCTTATCTTATCTTGAGTTATTTTTTATTATGTGGAAAACTTCAAATTGACAAACTGTTTTTCTCACTGAAATCAATGTGGAATAATATTCTTATGACTCAATCTAAGTCGGACATTGTTGAACAGTAGTTTGACAAATTTAATATTGAAAATAATCTCATCAGAATCAATACTTTATTATCACAGCAAGAAAAAAACAAATATTCATGGATATAATAAGAAAAAAAAATAAAAATTCTGTTCTTTTCATTTGTGAGTTTTATAGTTATTCACATTGTTTTAGTTTTATTTCGATTCTCGATGTATTCGATCTTGTGTATTGGATATCAATTATTTCAAATCTTGAATATGGTAGAATTAATACTTCTTGATCATCTGGAAATTCTGATATATCTTCAATATTTAATGCACTTTTACAATTACATATTTCATATACACATATGACATTCAATTGATCATTTGACTTTTGATTTGTTTTACAAAATTGTGAAGCAACACTTATATGTTTTGATGTTGATAAGAGTGTCTTGATTAAAATCTGTTTACCTATTTTATATTGTTGAAGGTTATCATTATTAATTATCATACCACGATATGAAGTTCCAATATATCACAATGTTTCTAATGGCGAGTATTTATTTGAGCAATAAAAATATCTAAATGAGCAATACAAAAAAAAATTATAAGATAGTTTTATTGCTTATTTAAATATAAGTCTAATAATAAAATATTTTTCACGACAGGTATAGTTAAATTTGAATATAATATCTTCCACTAATAATATATTTATTGTAACCATCAATAAAAAAAGTCATTTCATCTTTCAGCATTTACTTCTTATGCTGATTATCGTTTAATAAATATTATTATTGTTGATTCATTTTATAATACTAACAAACAATTCGTGTTTTCGATAAAATCACATTTACTATATTTCTACAAAAATAGCATACATATGATTGTCTATATTGAATAAAAGTATTGTTCATACATTTATGATAATAGCAAAAGAAAGTTCTTATTATGAAGAAATTTTACCATCATGATCATTATCATCTACATAATATTCTTCCGCTGGCTCTATAATTTGTGGAAGTCTTTATCCCGCTGAAAAATTGCAAAAATCTTAAAACATCGGACATTTATTAAATATAACTTCAGTATCAGCACAAAATGTTTCATTACGTGTTGAATAAAAAATTGTTAAATTGTATAACATCACTCTATTTTTTCTAATAAACATTCTTGTGAATAAGACAATTTTTCGATTGATAACACTTTCTCATTTTACTCTCAAAGATGATATTTTAGAATATTCATCATTTGTAGTTAGTCTTTTTCTAGAAATTATTTCGAACTTAAATACGCAGATGCTGAAAATTTTATCAGATCGAACAAAATCAAAAATAAAATTCTGTTTTAATGTTTTTCATGAATAAATCAAACAAATATTTTTTACAATATATCTATCCAACACATATAAAAAATGAAAAGAAAAACAATAAAATAAGTTGTTGAAATAGAATAATTGATCTGATGAATTTTCTATGCATAAAAATTGATATTAAACGATCCTTGGTACTAAGAGATTCACTAAAATATTTATACAAAAGGATATAATAAACGATCCAGCATGGTCGAATGCAGTAATATTTTATTTTTTTTTTCATACATAAAATACAGGTAATGCTTGTAATGGTACATGACGACAGAGAGGCTTTCTTCATTTATCATTATCGGCACATTTTTTGTTTGGAAGGAAGAAAGAATCGACTCATACATGCTTCTTTTTTTATCTTCATCTATTAACTATAGGTAATATTTCTTATATACACAACAGGATACACAGGTATTGATGTGACTCATTGGCTATACGTTCTTCGTTAATGAGAGGGCCGTGAATGGTAAATTTTTTTCTCTCCGTACATACATTATAGGTAATATTTCTTAGACACATGACGAAAGAGATAGGTACTATCGTGACTAATTATATATGCGTCTTTCGTTTATATAATTGAGAATACTGGTATATTATTTTTTTCTGCACATACAAATTATTGATCATGCGGTTTGTATAATCAGTGAAAAAGCGACCCGTCCTTCATACTGTTTCGTTTGACTGCTTAATTATTCTTATGTAGCCATCGAATAAAGACAATTCATACATCAATAATCACGGAATTAAACGATATAAAAAAGAGTATGTCATACACATTTTTATTTTATTGTTTGATTTCATTTATACTTACAGCTGGTATATACGTCTATTCTTCTCTGACTTCGATGTTTGGTGGTTATAATTTAAAGGTAACTACTTGTATAGCAGAGATACAGACAGGGCACTAGGCCTGCCTACCTGCCTGCCTGGGCCAGGCGCAGGCCATGCCCTGTCTCTGTTATTTTTAAATAGTTTTAATAAATATTTCATCTCAGCTCAATAGATGTATTTATTGATATGTTTAGTTAGGGATTTGTCGCTAGTAGATGAAGAATGATTTTCATCTTGTTGATTGGACACATTCATGAGTAATAGTATAAGTTTATCATATTGTTCAGTGTCTATTTAGATATTATTCTCTCTTGTATTATCTCGTCGAAGTACTAGTTACTATTCCTATCGTTTATCTCTTTTATTTTATATAAACATTGTCTTAATTCTCATTTGTCATATTGTTACTATTATATTGGTGATATTCTCTTGGTAGTTTTACATTCGTATTATTAAATAATTATTATTAAACTAGTTTTATCTCATAATGACTTCTATTGCTTTAAATTCCTCAAATAGAACGACTACGTCGTCATCGATGCCAAACGCAATTTATCAATATTCAACAGCATCAATTAATATTTTATTGAAACGAAAAGATGATTCGAAAGAATTTATAGTGATAAAGAATGACAAAAAGAAGATTTCATCAATCGCTTGGTCAAGATTTGGATTTCCAGCAAAACGTTTAGTAGACAATTCTTATAAACGAATAGTTGGTTTTGCAAGTTGTTTCGAATGCAAACATACCTATAGTTTTCAGTCTGGTGGTAGCGGAAGCACGAAATCCCTTTTAAATCATAAATGTAAAAAAAGAGCACCATTAGCAAATAGGCAAGCGAGTCCATTAAACAAAATCATCAAATTAGAGGAAACAACAGCACCTAAATTAGCTGCTATTGATTATACTGAAATTCATGATGATTTAACTAAATGGATATGTTCGTCTATTCGCCCGTTCAATATTGTTACAGATCCAGGATTTAAAATTTTTTTAGAAACGATTGTCAATATTAGTGAGTACCGTACTGCAATTATTTTTAGATAATACTTACTAACTTCTTAGGTCAAGAATATCATGCACCAATCGATATTGATGATATTCTTATATCACCAGCAGCAATTTCGAATAATATCCACAAACTAGCTGAATATTACAGATCTTTAATACGATCGGTATTAATTGATCAAGCAGAGTCCGGCACATTAGCTATTAGTCCGGACCTTTGGACTGATAAATCCAAAAATGTGAATTATTTGAGTTTAACAGTTTACTTTGTTGCTACTGATTTTGAATTATATACAATTGATTTATGTTGTACTCCATATAATGAAGTTGATAAAACTGGTGAATCTGTTTTACAAGTAAGTGTATTAGACAAAAAGAAAAAAAGATAGAGTCTTCCTTACTTTATTGTTAAGACAATACGTCAACAACTCCATTTGTACGGATTATTACCTTATATGGATGATCATAAAATAACATTTACATCTGATCGTGAATCAATTATTCTAAAAGCATTAAAAGGTAAATTATTTTGGCTAGGTTTATTGTTTAATATTCAAGTTTGCACAATTTAGGACAACCGGTGATTTATTGTTGTGCACACAGAATTGATAATGTGCTTAAACGAGCTTTTTATCAAACGGCACAGGAGAGAGAAAAGAAAATTTTGAATGCATCAACTACATCTGGAAAACGACAATTGACAGAGTGTCAATTGATATGTGATAGTTCATTCGATAGTAGTTCATCTGAAGATGATACTACAGCTCCATCTCCATCAAAATACATCGAAGCCCATACATTATTAGTGGACATACCATTAAAAGCAAAAGAAATTTTAACTACAATCACAGCAAGTAAAAAACTAGTGAAATATGTGAAATTAGTGAGTAAATATCTAATACAAACAAACGATTTATTTCTTTGTAAATGAAATCATTTTGTTTCAGACTGGATTAAATAAAGATATTGAAGATCTTGGTGGTATTGTATTGAAACAAGATTGTATTGTCAAGTGGCTTTTACTGTCAAATATGCTCGAATCAATCGATGGTTCACTAGAATATGTTCGATCGATATTCTTAAAATCAAAGAACCAATATTATTTTAAATTAGATCATATTAGTATGGATGGTCTAAAAGACTTAATTTGTTTACTAAAGGAATTCAAAAATGTATCTTTACAAATACAAACTGGTACTCGACCATCACTTCATATGGCTTATATTTGTATAAATAAACTTAAACGTCATTTAAATGGAACTGATGTTGATAAAGATGGTAAATTTATAAATATAGATGATCGCCATGAAGGTATTAGAAAGAACATAATCAGAATGGTATATTATTTTTTGAATTATTTGTTTTAGGAACTGATTTTTTTCGGAAACGTTTGTTTCAATTATTACAATGCATGTTTGCTTTTGATAATAAACATATTGTAGCAGCTGCTCTACATCCACTATATCGCAAGTTAACCTTTGCAACCACGTATAACAAAACTTTCGCATATGTTTACATTCGTGAACAAGTAGATGAAATTCTTGGATTAAATAAGCAGCTAATGACATTTTATGAACCATTAAAAAAGAGGCACAAGACAATGGAAGATCAATTTGCTGATCCAGATGATGAATTCGATACGCAGGGTGTTAGTTCACCATCAGCAAATACATTTAATTATGATGAACTTGAACGATATCTACAAATGAATATCGAAGATTTTTACAAACAACCTAACCCATTACCATTCTGGCGAGATCATCAAAGTATGTTTCCAGCACTATCCTTATTGGCTCGTCGTCTCTTTTCCATCCCGGTTACATCAGTTGGAGTAGAGCGTCACTTCTCATCTGCCGGTCTTACAATAACACAACGTCGATCATCACTTGATCCTGATACCATCAACGATGTTCTTTTCGTTCGATCTATACAACACCTTTTGGAATCAAAACCAAATTTTTTCTTCTAAATATTAATATTATCTGTATACTCATTCTCTATGCAACGATAGTTTGTTGAAATAAAAAAGAATAGTTCATCTAATCATCTCGACTTAATTTACATAACTTAAAGGTATGAGTGTGACTATCAGAGAATGCATATAGTTATACTCACACCCACACTTATCCTCGAGATAGGACAAGATAGATGACTTTTTGTAGATAAACTGCATCATTTTAAGACACAATATTTGTAATCATTTCACATTTATTTTAAGAAGCTTTCTAGTCTAAGCTTAGCGATGCAACTCAAGGAAACTAATGAATCTCAATAAAGGCATATTATTATTTAAATATAATGACAGAAA